CCTGGGTCTAGGACAGTCACAGGGGCACTGCAGCTTGTAGAAGGGATGTGGAATTTGAATTGAGTCTCCATCTCAGCAGGATGCTTAGTGCTTATCTGAGGTTATCACGTTTTATGCACAGACTTGGAGAGCTTGTTCAAATAACTGGGGCCTGGGGCACGGGGTGCACACTCGAGGGCCCAACTCAACAGTTCCTCCTTAAAACTGAAATCTTGTGACCTGAATTTTTTGAGCATCAGGATGGCTTTTCTTTGAGTCACTGTTCAGTGAATTTTTTGCAGTTACTTTCTCTTTAAAGGGGTCAGTGTTTGTTTCTAACAGTGACTTGGGAGACCCTTGTGGTGGGGGCACTAGAGTGAACGAAAGTGCTGCTCGGCCCAACTCAGCAGGGCCCCGTGGTACTGGGGTGTCCGCGGTGTGGCTGTCCAGACAAAGTTTAAGTCGCTTATACTTGGCTTCAGGCTGATTTCTCTTAACACTTTCCCTAGAAGTCTTTTATTTCCTTCATCTTCTTTGGCTGTTGCTCATGTTGATTACTCCTTGGCTGGTGCAGGTGCGGTCAGCGGAGTGTTTGGGGGTGAAAGTGTTAGAAACCTGTCTGAGGTTTGCATTTTCCAGTGGGTGATCTGAGTATGTATGAGCGTTGACTTTTTCTGTGTATGTGCACTGAGTGTAAACAGGGGCACTTTTTCATTCCAAGGCTTTCTACAAAACTCCAGCGCATGCCCCCCCCACACACACAGTTAGACTGTGCTTTCAGTTTCTGTATCAGCTTGCATGGAATTTATCACATTTTCAAGCTCTTAATTTGAACCTTCCTGAACGAGTGCTGTTTTTGTGAAAGGTGGAGATGAAGATGAGAACGACGAGCCGCCCAAAGTGGTAGTCACTGAAGTGAAAGAAGAGGATGCTTTTTACTCCAAAAAGTAAGTCACCGTCTCGGGAGTCCACTTGACAGACGTGGAAGGAGGCTGTGGCCGGCGTGTGCGGGTGGCGTCCCTGCGGAACTCATTGCACATTCCACCCTGGGGTCAGGCTGTGCTGCTCTTTGAACTGGAACAAGGAAGAATTCTTGGCCTATTTATTTAAAAACAATCCAATTCCAGAAATTTTCTGCTGGGCGTATCCTACTCTTATCTGTTAATTTAGTTCTTTTCTGCTTTTAAAATGCTTTAAAGACAGTCTTTTCTCTGGTCCTGCCCCGTCTCACTCATCCTCCTCTCTCCTCTCCTCCTCCCTTCTTTCCCCTCCTCCCCGACAGAGACAGTCACTGCTTTCAGGTTCAGTTTTCCTTCTGCTCTTAAATTAGGCAGCATCTCGGATTCCTTCCTGGAGACATCGCTGGCTTTCGTGGATTCTCTCACAGCCAGAAAGTCCTGCGTAGTAACCATCCCTCTCCCGAGTGATGAGAGCAGTTGGTTTTTTTGTTTTTGTTTGTTCAGTGAGCTACTTTCAGAAGACAGCTGAAGGGAAGTTTTGAATTAACCTCTCAGTGAAATGTAGTTAGTGGTTTTTAACAAAGATACTTACTTGAAAAACATTTGTGCCATTTTAGAAGCTTCCCTGGATATGTTTTTCTAATACAGAAATTTCAGACTTAATAAGGCAGCTGTTTTCATAGTTTAAGTCACTGTACCCTGTGGGATTCCCAAGTGTTGTTTATTTGTGAGAGCTTTTAAGAGACCAACAATTCCTTTTACCTGTTTTAAAATTTAGTTACACAGGTGACCTGAAGGAGTGACCCTGAGTTAAGATCTTTTTCTAGTAAATCAAAGATGCAGGCAGTGGTTTTGATTTGTCTATTAAAAACCTAAGGCGCTATGTGATGTGTGAGGCTGGGAGGTGTTTGATTGCATTATCATTAGTTAGGCCTTGCTTGAGGGTGTTTTCCAGACTTATTTCAGCATCTTGGGACATCAGAAATTGGAGGGGTCCTGAAGAGAATTCAGAAATAAGAAACAGGAAAAGTGGAAAGAGGTGGGGGCGGGGGGCGGATAGCAGAGTGTCTGTCCTGTGTTTGCTCCTGTTCTTTAAGGACCAAGTCAGCTCTCAGGCTCAGGGCTGAAGGAGCACATCAGGAAGTGTGGGGTGCTTGGCCATGACTTTGATTGACTTTTGAGAAAAGATAGTTTCAGAAAGCATTGTTAGAGACTTGTCTGAGGCCCAGTGTGTAATAATGCAGAGAAACGTGGCGGGTCCTTGACCACCTCACCAGGTGCTCTACCTGGCTCGTGCCCAGACCTGACCTGTGTCGACAGAGGGCTCTTCTAGGCTTCCTCTGCTGCCGCGTTGTAGCGGACGTCCGCCACGTGTGAACGGGGCTGTTAGAAAGGTGCGCCTCCTGGTTCGTCGCTGAGTGTCTGATCCTACCTGTTGTTCTTCTCCATAGGTGTAAGCTGTTTTACAAGAAAGACAATGAGTTTAAAGAGAAGGGTGTAGGCACCCTGCATTTAAAGCCTACAGCAAATCAGAAGACACAGCTTTTAGTGCGGGCAGACACCAACTTAGGTGGGTACCTTGTTTTCAAGTGGCACAAAATAACCATGATCTATGATGTGTGTAAAAGCCCTTGGCCTTGCTGATTTTACTCAGGATTTTCAGTTGTTGGGGTTTTTTTGGAACGGAATAGAGATGGTTCAGATTCATCCTATATTTACTGATTATTATAGAGTTAGTTTGGATACTGGGGTAACAGTGTGTGAGAAAACCTGGATGTGCTGTGAGTTATTGCCTAGAAGTAACCAAAATGGTTTTCATTTCCTTTGTATTAGAAATGTGACTAAGAAGCTGTAGGTAAACTAGATGGTTTAATAAACTCTCAAGGGGAATTAATCATTTAGAAGAATTCTTTTTATGTAGCAAATGATCACTAACTCAGTGCTATCCACCCTTCACCCCACCCTTCAAGCAGTCCTGAAAGGCGGGGGTGGTGCCGGCGGTGGGGGTCTGGAAGTGGGGTTGGTAGTGGCAGATTACACCAGCCTGTGTCACAGAGAGAAACTTATGTGATGCTGTTTTCTTTCCTGTGGGCTTGACCAATTTGTGATACTGTCACAGTAGTGTCATTCTTACCCCGCGAGTCGCGCTGGCCTCTGTGACAGACATTTTTCTGCTGACCTTCCTTTCTTTGTTCCAGTGACAAAGTGAGGACTGCACGTCGGGCCAGCATGTTTTTCCTTCAGTGCAGGAGAGCACAGGGTGTTCTCAAGGGCTGCTGGCGTCGTTGCAGGAGACAGGCGGGGGAGGGTAGAAGGCAGCTCCTCAGGCAGGCTAATCCAGGTCTTGCAGGAAGGCCGCACGCTCCGCTCGGGGGCGCCATGCTGGCATCTGTCAGAACCATGCCCGTTTTTATGACTTTCCTGTGGCTCCTAATTTTAGATCCAATGAGTATAAGTTGCTTCAGTATTTAATGGGTAACCTATTAAAGCTGTAGTTTCCTGAAGCTAAAGTTTGTATGATTTTGATGTATTTTTTTTCTTTTGTTGAAATGCAGGCAACATTTTGCTCAATGTCCTGATTCCACCCAACATGCCGTGTACCCGCACAGGGAAGAACAATGTGCTCATTGTCTGTGTTCCAAATCCACCCGTTGATGAGAAGAATGCCGCCGTCCCGGTTGCCATGTTAATTCGGGTAAAAACAAGTGAAGATGCAGATGAGTTGCACAACATTTTACTGGGGAAAAAGGATGCCTGAACACACTCCGACTGAGGAGTTGTTGCCAAGTCGCTGCTTCCCCCACCACCCCTTAAACTTACTCAGTTTTCTTCTCTTCTTTGACTTTCTAGAACTTAGAGATAACTTAAAACTTCTGTGAGGAAGATTAATATGGCCAATAAAACCTTTAATGTTAAGTGTCAAGAAACTGTATTCTCCCTTCTTAAGAACTGTCTAATGTGTAAAACATATTTGAAAGAAAATTTTTGGAAGATTTTTAAGGTTCATTTATTAAACTAACCACAAGTGATTTCTTCATGGACTGAAATCAGGGTATTGATTAGATTCTCCCAAAGGCTCTTCCGATCCAGGGGTTTGGTGCCTGTGCCATTGCCGATGAGGCCTGTCACCGAGGTGTGTCCAGAAGTCAGCGCGCCATCTTTCTGTGGGGCCTGGCCCGGCTGCGTGAGGACGGCGCTCCACGGGAACCAGGCCACCGTGCTGTGGCCGACGTTTCTCCTTTGCTTTATCTTACCGTGTTTTACAGCTGAATGTTCGCCTTCAGCATAGGAATCCTCAGCTTTTTCTGTGCAGACACTGACCTTTATAACCTCCTGGGCTGCTTTACTGTGATTCTGGAACTGCTTTTTCATTTTAAAAGGAAATGAGTAGCTTGATCTTTGGTTTCATAAGTGAGTTCATGAGGTGCTCTTACTTCTGTATCCCCCTAGAGACAGATGGTGTGGGGGGGTTGCCAGGAATGAGGTTTAAAAAGCACAAATTTGTAGCTTACAGTTTGTAGGTCATGGACAGTAAACCCTTGTAAAAGAGTTAAACCATACAACAAAAGGAGAGAATGTGCTGTTAGTTATTTATGCCATGCTAAACCCTGTGGATCTAAAAACCTACTTAGTAAAGTCATAGGAGCTTTTATTACACATGAGCCATGTGAACTAACCAGGAAACTCGCAATAAGGTAATGGAAGAGAAAATTATGTGTGTAAGTGTTGCCTTTAACTGTTAGACAGCAGTGTATTCTACATTTGATACCTGAAATTGCCATTTACTTTTTTAAGAATAAGGTCTTCTCTCTGTCCATTTGGAAGAGCGCTGTGGTTGTACACGAGTGCCCGGGCCACCTCCCCGCCGCCGTTCGGTACCCAGCACTAGCGTTGATGACTCTGGGCACATGAACTGGATGTAAATTTTAGTGTTCTAAATATCCGCTTTCATTCCTCATGAATCATTTAAGGCTGGTACCAGATAATCTTGTTTAAAGGCTCAGGGTCTGTGCCTGAGGGCTCACGCTTGTGTATTCTGATCGTCAGTACATAATGTCTTTTGACTCAGAATAGTCAAAATAATTGTAGATAGTAGGTTACTTAAAAGAACTGCAATTTTTAGATGTAAAAGGGCAGGGAAACCATTTTATGATCGAATAATGTTACTCGTAAATACTTGAGGTAAGGTGGCTGGGCCAGCGTTTGTCACGAGATGCTGCTGCTGCTCTGATTCCAGTGGGAGAATTTGGCCCACGGTGCGACTCTGGGGAGAGACACGCAGAGGTTCGCGTGTGCGTGGTGAGAGGTGGTCAGAGCAGGCTGTGTTGTGAGGCCTAGGGAGGACGTGGCAGCTGTTGTTGCTTTTACTTTTTAGAAATGAGAATGTTCCTGAGTTTTTATTGGAGATGATTCCTAGTGAACAAGTGGTTGATGCTGCTAATGTAGTAGTGGCCCTGCCCTGCTCACCTGAGGTTTATGCAGGCGTTGGAAGGATGAGGAAGTGAGGGGAACAAACTTAGCCACTTGGCTTAGCCAGCCACCTGTGCTCCTGGCCCCGCCAGTCAGCAGGTGAGGCTCACAGGCGTCTTTAGGAGCTCCGGGGTTAGCCTTTCCCTTGGCACGTAATGTGAATGTTCACCGAAAATGGCATGAACCACTCATGATTGGATTATTGGATGACCTCTTAACACCGTCCCCACCCCACCATAAAAACAGGTGTGTGTTTTTAATTAGTGAATATGTGTGGCGTCCTTTTGTCCTAACATTCCCAGCAAATTCGTGCTGCTAAGACTGTTCTGTTAAACTGAAAATTACAGGGGAGAATGGTGTGTGTACCGTAAGTCAAAGTATTTTCCTAAAATCACTCTTACGCTTTAGGATCTTTTTGGTCTCCACTTTAATCATGTATTTGTATAAAAGAGCCCAAGTGTATATGGATTTCACTGAAAAAACCTAAATCCATGTGTGTTACTGAGGGAGGGGAGTCTGGCCCCTGGAGGGCCCCTCTTCACCCCCACTGTGTAACAGCTCACGTCTGCCCTGTGGGTTTAGTTAGGTTTATTTTTAACAAATTATTAGAAATTAGGCTTTAAAAGTGTTTAATGTTGACTGAAATTTTTATCTTTAGTTGGGAATCTCAAGAGTTTCGTAAATGTGGCCTAAAGGTGTATATACCTAAAGGTCTAAGGCAGGCTGTGCTGTAGCCTGACAAATACCGAGTGTCCCAGTGGCCTTTTCTTATCTGATGTGTGTTCCTCTCCTTCTGAGCATTCCTGTCAAGCAAAAAACTGAGTGTTATGCTGTCTCCATTATTAGAATTACAGGCTGGAAATACGTATCATTTTTAGATTGTTTTCCATGGAAAGACAGGTCTGACTCTTTACAGACTGGTTTTCTTTAAAAGGATTGTTTTACAATTTCAGTTCTAAATCATATTTTTGATATGCTACATGCCAAAAATATCTACCTATTCTAGGGTAGACAAAAAAAACTAATACTCTACTGCTAGAGTTCAAAACAAGTTTTCACTGAAAAAGCCTTTTTGGTTTAGTTTTAAAGGTATACAGGTTGCTTGTTTCTTAGCATTTGAGTTATTCCTATGTTTTAGAACAATCCAAATGTAAGCGCAGTGCATTTGAAGACTTTCCAGATTTGCAAATTAAATGGCTTACTCCCAAACCCCTAGGATTCATCCTCACTCTGGAAGTGAGGATTTTAAGTAGAAACTGATTTGTCCTCTAGTACCAGTAGGTGACAGTGAGGAGGGGGCCCAGGAGAACTTTCTTCCAGGCACACCTGAGCACGAGGCCGCTCGCTTGTCCGTGGCAATCATGGTGCGGGCTGGACTCCCCGTCTGATGCAGATGCAGTGGTATTAGAGAGGTGAAACTTCTTCACAATCAAATGGATGAATTGTTTGCTATTTTAAATAGGAAATTGTTTTCTAAAACTAAAATACTTGAATCGTCAGACAATGTAATCTCAGTTTGTATTGGTTTTTGAATGATCCCATTGAGGAAGTGTAACAATCCAGGAAATGTGAATAAATGGAAAGAAAACAGAATCACAGTGTTTGACACTTTTTATGTCCCTCTGTGCTGCGCGTGGCATTAGTACAAGTCAAGCCGGCTGGAGGGGAGGAAGTGGCAGCAGCAGGGCCCAGAGGCCTCCGGGCCAGCAGGAAGGAATGCTGGGCAGTGAGACCAGCTCCAGACCATTCAAGAGTTCGTTGAGACCGTGTTTTTGCAGATTAGAATGGGAGTAACAGGCCTCTCACTGGCTGTTTTGCTCTAAGCTCGTTATGGTGGCCTCCAGGGTGGGTTTTCCAAAGAAACTGGAGTCCAGGCAGGTGAGGCGTCTTGCAGACAAGTAAATGGAGTTGGGATCTGTGTCCAGGAGAACTTTTTAAAACTAAGGATCAAAATGATCAAGAAAAAATATATTTCGAGTTCATGTAACGTAAGTTTTTGGTGATTTGGAAAATGACTGTTGAGGCATTCGTTAACAGATTAAATCGTAGCATAATTGTGATAGTATTTTAGTGTCAGGCTCATATTTTTAAAATGTTCCTGAGTAATTCAGCACTTAGCTGATTTATAAGAGGTGTCTCCTGGTAAAGACATTTTTATAAAGACTAAGTTATCCATCAAAATATTTTTCTTGAACTGATAATATTTAATGGAAACTACTGAAGACACTAAGAGGGTAGGTACTATCCAAGGAGAAAAATGCATCTCAGACACACAGCCCTGCTCTGGGCACTCAGCTGAATAGTTGGGCTGGCACGGTGGCTCTGCAGTGTGGGCCTGGGAGCAGTGACAACACCCAGGGGCTTGTTGGAAATACAAACTCTGGGCCCCACCCTACAACCTACTGAATCAGAACTTCAGCAGCAGTCTGGGCACGTGTTTTGTTTTTTGTGATACAATTCACATACTGCAAAATTTACCCTTTTAACGTGAACAGTACAGTTCCGCTGTTTTTAATACATTGAGAGTTGTGCACCATCACCGCTAATTCCAGAACATTTCGATGCCAGCCATCTGGGTTTTAACAGGTGTTTTGGACACGTGTCAAATTTGCGAACCACTGGGCTACATCTATATCCCCTAGTGACTTTTGTTTAAAGATGAAAGGCCGCTTTGGCACGTTTCGGAGGGGAAACAGCAGTGACGGCCACAGTGGCCAGGAGCAATGCCAGCCTTGGTACTTGTCTCCCTCTGACCTGCTGCTGCTGGGAAGGCAGGTGGTGATTCTGCTTTACGACTCAGAAACCCCTAAGGAGGTGCAGCTTGCAGAGGGGCCAGATCCCTGTGGGTGCCGTCCAGGTTGCCACTTAAAGGTATGTATGTGCCCGTTAAAGCACTAAGCTTCTGGTTTCCGAAATGGGCTAAAATCTTTTGAACAAAATTGTTTATTCAAAATACAATCACTGAAGTTCACTAGAAACCATGGTATTTCAAATTGAGCAACCTAACCGTTTTATTAAAGTCGGATTCCAAGATGAAGACCTCAGTCCACAAGTAAGAAAGAAGGATCTCGTTAAACAGGGCTGGCTTCTGCGGAAGCCACGTCAGGAGGGAATGTAATGAAGCTGTAAGCAAAAGGAAAGACACCTGTTGTCTGATTATCCCCAAACAAATGTTTTCCGTTCCTCATAGAAGTTTTCCAGCTGTCCTGTCATGTTAACAATCAAGCACAAAGCACAGCAGGTTTACACATTCAACATGTATATGTACAATGAACCGCGTTACCGTGCAGATTAAGTCATTTCACATTTACCCTCCTCCCGGTATACAATTCCCAAGGTTCTCCCTTCCAGTCCACTTTTCCCTAAGCTGGGCCATGACAGTGGTTCCTAAAAGTGTCTAGGTTGGGATAAAGGAAGTGAAACAGCAGTACAGCCTTGGAGAGCAGGCGTTTAATAGGAACGCAGTTTACTGCAGGCAGCTTCTGGGGCAGAGACTCTGTCTTACAACAACCTCCTAATTAGTTAACAGCAAGGGGTCGGGGTGACTTGGATGACGAGGAAACCATCTTTTTTACCTGCTAAACTGCCTCCTTCCTGACCACCTTGTACAGGCTGCCCTCGGCGATGCCGTGGTTCAGAGAACTCTCCCGGCTCTGGTGTTTCTAACGCAATGACTGTTTCTGAGAGATGTCACTTGATGAGATGACCCTTACTGTATTTCCAGATGTCTGTATGTGTTCCTCCCAGAGCCCCCCCTTTTTATTGTTATTTTCTTTAACTTTCTACAGTATCTTAGGCCTGCCTTGTGCCCATCACCTTATGAGTCCATCTGACCACGGAAAGCAGCAGCCCGCGGCCTGAGCGGTGCTTCCGGCTACGGCGAACCTGTGACAGCCCCGCAGAGGCCGTCTGAGTGGCGTGTGAGCATTGTCAACCTGATGAACTACAGAGTTGGGAGGCAACCAAGAGCCACTGTCCAAAACCCATCTTCCCAAAGACCAGGTAGCCTGCTGGGACCTGCCGAAACTTGGGACTCCTTTTATTCTAGTCATTTCTCCACTTTTGTGAGGGCTTAAGAGGTTCTCTAGCAAAAGCTTGGGACATTTTACAGTGCAACTGACGGGGTACGTCCTCCTCTACGGGGGCCGAGAGCTGGACCCGAAACGCTTCTCTGATTTAATTTTGCAGATGCAGCATCTGGCCTAATTGCAACTGCTTGCCTCCAGGCCCCCTTGCTGACTCCCAGACCTGCCAAAGCCAGGGTGTAGGGTGGCTTCTGTCTTTTGATAAAGTAACTTGGATAGAGCTCCAAAAAAAGCTTAAGAAATGGAGGGAAATTAAGGTTCAGTCAGTAAGTTAACACATTGCTATAATATCTACACAGTGTTTCATCTGAAACACGCATTAGAGAAAAAAATGACCAGGTGCAGATTCATTAGAGAAGAAAAATAAATAATACCCAACATGCAAATCAACTTTCAAAAGAAATGCAAAGGCATAACCACAGCTGGCAGCCACCCACAGACACTGCCTAGGAGCTAGTCTACTGCACGTGGAGGTGGCTGATCAGAAGCTGCTGACAGTGCCCATGGAAACAGCACTGACAGTGCATCCTTACACAGACAGCGTATGTTGTCATGGTGTTTGTCCTAAAATATACTTTGTAGAAATCATTGCAGTTAAGCCTCAAAGTAGTGAAAAATCTCAACAGGTCTGCTTTGCAGGTTTACATATTCTCGTACAGGGAACTCATTTGGAAACCATAAAAGATTACTATTTACACCTAAATCACCCAACCTTCTAGGAAGTGGGAAACAAAAGACCGGATACTCCCAGCGGCTCAGCAGAGCCGGGGCGTCGCCGTCAGGCTTGATCTGAGCTCCAGCGTCCGCCCTGGGAAGAGGAGAAAACTGTAAACACGCACACTTTCCTTGCGGCCTCCTCCACTCCTGAGGCTCCACCCGCTCTGGACCCCCTAGCCCAACCCAGGCCGCTGGGCGTTCAAGTGACCTGGCTTCTGCGTGGTCTCAGGAGCTCCCCAGGGCCGTCTGTTCCAGGGCTCATAAGAAGGGCTGCAGGAGGCCTTTTCCACTGAAGGCCACGTCAGTGCCAGGTCAGCCAGTGAAAAGGGACAAAGGAAAGAGGCCCCAGCGCCCGTCACCCATCCCCCGACTCCCGGAGGGACGGGGTGGGACTCTGGCCGCCTGGCCCGGAGCAGTGCTGCTGGAGGGGTCCAAAGGCTCCCTCCACTCGGGCTCCAGGGCCAGGTGTCGGCTGGCCCTTACATTCTTCTGAGAGTCTGCGTCCTTTCGGGGGGTTACCTCCTTAAAGAGAAGCAATTCTGCACTCTGATACAACATAATTCAAAAGATACTTGGTTTTTGAAACTGGATATGAAACTAAATTTCAGCTAAATTGGAAAACTGAACAGAATATATGTACATCAGAGTGAAACCTATTAATAAGGCTCATTAAGAAGTTGACTTTTATATGTAAATCTTAGAAGAATTTTGGCCAGCAATTTAAAACCACCATAGGATGATAATGTCAAATACATTTTTCAAAAGTTAGAATATACTAACTGCACAGGGACTTCCCTGTGGAATGTCTTTAAATGGAAAAAAAAAGTTTCACATCATTCTTCAAAGGAGTCTACTGACTAGTTTGTCTGTGATAAACAGCAAAATAGATCGTGGTTTGATTCTAGCTAGATTCTTTTTGGGGGCGAGGGGCCACATCAGGAACGGGCCTTTCTGGCATTACCATCATCATCCACGTGGAGAGAAGCCTAATTGAGTCCTGATGAT